AAGAGACAGGGTTTCCTGGCTGTCCTGGAACTCACTTTGTAGACCAGGTTGGCCTCAAACTCACAGAGATCCACCTGCCTCTGCCTCCTGAGTCCTGGGATTAAAGGCCTGTGCCACCAATGCCCGGCTCTATTTGTTATTTTTAAAGCTGGGTTTTGCTATGTGGTACAGAACAGTCTCAAACTCATGACAATCCTCCCTAAGTCTCCTGGGTGCTGGGATTATATGCACCATCATATCTAGCTTTCCCAAAGTCCTTTGTCATTTTCAAAATAAGCTACCATCCCAGTCTTCCCATCTGGACTGTGTGTATTTTGAGAACAGAGATTGGCCTCACTCCATTTTGTGTATTTCCAGGACTATAATACCGTCCTTGGTTGATTGAGTAAATGAATAAATGTTCTAGGTCAGTGCTATCCACTACACTAGCCACAAACCACATGTGGTAGCTCTTGAAATGTAGCTGATCTATATTTAGGTGTGTTGTTAGAATAAAATAGGGCATATATTTCAAAGACACTGTGAAGAAAGGTAAAATGTTTCATTGATATTTTTATATTAAATGTTGAAACAATAATTTAACCCAATATACTTGGAACAGTATATGCTAGTATCAAAATTAATTTTATTAAACACTATCTCAAAAAAAGCCCCAAAATCATTATCTCTTTTTATGCTCCTAATTCTTTCAATTAAAAACAATTTTGTGTGTGGTACTAGGGTTGAACCCCAGGGTTTCTGTATAATAGGCAAGCAAGTGTTCTACCACTGAGCCCCATCCCTAGCCCTACGTTGCTGGGGACAGGGTAGGCTAGGCTTGCCTACAATTGAGATATTCCTGCCTCAGTCTCTCTAGGGTTGGAATTGCAAGCATATACCATTGCACCCATCTTTTTTTGATGGTTCGAGAACAGGGTTTCTCTGTGTAGCCCTGGCTATCTTGGAACTCATTCTGTAGACCACGTTGGCCTCAAACTCAGATATCCACCTGTTTCTCCTTCCAAATGCTTGTATTAGAGACATGTGCCACCACACCTGGGTAGTGTGCCCAGCTTTTAATGCATGGCAAATTGAAAAAAGGTTTGTATTATTTTTTAAGGCTTTAAATTATTTACTTTTTTTGTGGAGGCAGAAGTGTCATGGTCCTCCTGTGGAGGTCAGAGAACTGGATAGCCATTTCTTTCTCCACCATGTGGGTCTGAGGACTGAACACAGGTTGTCAGGATGTACTTTTATACAGTAATCCATCTCATTAAGTTGCTATTTTTATTATTCTTAATTCTGTGTAGGGTATGTACATGTGAGTATAGGCACCAGTGGAGGCCAGCTGGAGCTGGAGTTACAAGAAGTTGTAAGCCACCTGACATGGATGCTGGGACTTGAATTTGGGTCATCTGTAAGAACACTATATATTCTTAATTGCTTTCCCCTCTAATGCTAGAGTTAGTAGAAAAATTTAAATTGCATTAGGTGCTTATTTACCTTCCAGCTTCCTGATTGTACCTGGTCTAAATCATTCTTTATACTTTAGTCAGAATGAGCCCATGAAGTATCAGCCAAATCATATACAGTCAAATAGGTTTATTTGAGGTAGCTATATTGTATGATGCTGCTACAAATAATTAATAAAGGCTGTGAAAGACCTCAGAAGAGGTACTTTCGTAGAAGGAGACCCGCACCCAGGAATCGGCGAAACCACGAACTTTGGATGCAAAAGCAAGAGGTTTTATTGATGGCGAGCTTACCCGGGGGCTTAGCTTTTGTTAGGCCAAGCCCCGAGCCAAGGGAGAGGGGTCCTTATATAGCTAAAAGCACCGTGCAGAAGCGAAAAGCATAGTTACAGGGATTCTATTGGACAATTTAATGAGGTACAGAGTTATTTTAGGTCCGGGACGCGGTGCCAGGCGGGCGGGCCTGGGTCTCGGCCCCGCCTGGGTGAACCGGCTTGGGAGGGAGCCAGCTGCCAGGCGTGTGGGTGCGCGCGTACGGGAGTGTCACCGAGAGAGAACCAGCCAGGGGGCGGGGTCTTTCATTC